AGCTTATATAAAAAAGAAACCATCTTGGAACCATTGAACGTTACCACACGAGAGACAAAGGGGCAACATCATTTTGCTTACTTAGAGTAATTAATTATCCATCAAAATGGCTGACAACGAGGGAGCCGCGGAAGAGCAGGAGTTCGATGAGGACGATGGCATGGCAGCCATGGATGAGGGTGGCATGGAGGAGGGCATTGAAGATGACTTATTCTCACGCCTGGGCGAGTCTTCGGATGATCCGGAGCAGAGACGAATGTATCACGAGTATTTGGCGCTAATCAAGGAGATCGACTGCCAGAACAGGATTATACAGGACATTAAGATGCAGGTGATGGACATGTGCGAGCGACCCTGTAAAACGCGCAACGAGCTGCGCGAGATCAAACGTCTGCGCATCTGTATGGAACAGGAGAACATCAAGCTGCACACCATGATGAACCGGGCCGTGAAGCTGCAGAACTTCGGATCCCGTCGTCATTATCGCGAACTGAACATGACCACCACCGTTGATGAGGACAATATATCGCCATATTGCATGGGTCCCTGTGGCGCACCAGCTGGAGGCAGTGGCGCAACAGCTACCGAGTGTAGCGACGAGGCCCCCTCCAGCTGCTGCCAAGCGGAGGGCCAGGAGGATCGGCTCATTAAGGCGCTGAGCAAGGCCATGCAGAAGATGAAGGGCGCCTGTCCGGAGGACATGAAAATGATGCAGGAAATCGCCTGCGCCATAATGGCCTCCAAGTCCAAGCCGAAGCAGGTCTGCAATCCAGGGCCATGCCAGAAGGCGCAGTCGCCCTGTGAGGACAGCAGCAGCAGCATCCAAGGACCTCCATGCCCGCCCTGCCCACCGCCGCCGTGTCGGCCAGCGAAGCGCTCCCGCCAGCGTGCACAGTCGCCCTGTCCACCGCCGTGTCCACCGCCGTGTCCGCCACCCTGCAGCAAGAGCGACTCGCTCGACAAGCTGAAGCGTCGCATCGTCAACATGCAATGCTCGGTGAAGAAACTGCTCAACGAGGTCAGCAAGCGCGAGACACAGGAGCCAACGTCGTGCGGCGGCTTCGATGATGATGATGACTACGATCATGATCATGATGATAGCTGCAATGCTGGCTCGTCGCGTCCGCCTTGCCCAGAGGATCCCGATCCGCTGGTCATCTGTGGCGGCAAGCGCAACACCAAGGCGGACAAGTACGAGAAGATGAAGGAGAATTACGCACGACTGTTGACACAGTTTCAGCGCAAGGACTGCCAAATGAAGGAGCTGGAGAAACGGTGAGAGAGCTTTTAGCATTCAGCTGAGATCCTTGATAAACTTCTTTTCATTTGCTTTAGGATGAAGGGCTTCATGGGCAGCTGTGGTGGCGGGGGCAAAGGAGCAACCTCGGACGCTGACGCCGCTGAGTTGAATCTGCTGCGTGCCCGGGTCAACGAGCTGAAGGAGGAACAGCTGGAGTTCAAGTGCATCATGAAAGAGCAGTCGCAACAGCTGGAGGACTATCGCAACAAGTACATGCTGGCCCAGCAGAAGGTCGAGGAGCAGTGCGTCTCGCTGGAGAAGCTGAACATGAACAACAAACGCATCGAGCAGCAGATCAACACGGAGGTGAAGGAAATACGCTCCAAGTTTCAGGAGAAGCTCAACGAGCTGCTGCACTTCCCCAAGTTGCTCGAGAACGAGCAGCTGAAGCTGGCGCAGGTGTGCAAGGAGAAGGATGATCTGCAGAGCAAACTTGTGGTTGTCTGCAAGGAGCTGAAGTCCTGCAAGACGCAGATGGAGGCTCCCACCCAGGATCTGGGACCTCAGCTGGCCCAGTGCCAGCTCGATCTGTCCCAGGCCCGGAATGAAATCGAGGAGCTGCTGCGCCAGCGCGATCTCTTCTGCGAGCAGCTGAAGACCACACAGGACGATCTGGACACGTTGCGCACCGAGTCCGCCAAGATTATTGCCGGCACCAAGGAGCGTGCCGAGATGATCAAAGCCCAGCAACAGGAGCAAATCAATCGCCTCGAAAAGGAGCTGGCCCAATGCCGTGCCACAGCCAGCCTGTCGGTCAACGATCGCGAAGCGGTCATCCGCGAAATGCAAGGCCAGCTCAACACCCTCTCCTACAGCTTCGATGCGGCCCAAAAGCAAATCAAAACCCTACGCAATCACATCGCCTACGTGTCCAACGAGAATTGCTTCCCGGTCAAATGTTAACACGGATCAGTTTTCACCAGATTTCAATGTTCTCATCCAACTGCTGTCCACCCTGTGCCTGTGTGTATGTGTGTGTGCGTGTGTGTATGCTTGTGCTTGTGCGTGTGTGTGCGCGCGCCTCTGTGCTGCTAATGCCAAAGCGCCAAAGAATGCGTCTCTCAGGAAGGTGCGAAATGTCTGATGAGCTCTTGCTAACCTCTAGCAAAACTACATCAACTTTCTCTCAGCTCACGGTGAATCTTTAGTCTAACGGGATTTAGAAATACTCAAAATCACACATCACATACATGCATGCATATATATAATAATAATTTCTCTATAATAAATGCGGTTCAAAATCATTCTTCATGTTGCAATGCCTCAAAGGAGGAAGTGCCAGAGATTACAGGGGATTGTTATATGAAAGCCGGAAGGCGGATGAGCGGTTGGGGGAGATGAACCCTATAAAAATTTCTACATAATAATTCAGGATTCAGGTTTTGATTTCGATCAGGGAAAACAGGGATATATAGATATAAAACTTAAACTGAAACCTGCTTAAGGCATTTATATACAAATCAAAGTATGAGAAAAAAAAATTAGACAATCAATCAAAATATAAAATAAACAAAATATTTTTGTTTTTGTAAATAACAATTATGTGAATTTAATCCCACGAAATCTCCATTAATTTTTTGCTACAATCTGTATTTTATCAGTTAATAAAATTTGAAGCTGACTGTTTTTCGTTTTTTGTTTGGCGCTCAATAAGAAAATCAAATACTTTATTGCTTTAGTGTGGCATTTGAGAAATGGCCGCAAACTGTTCTAGGGTTTGTAAATGAGCGCAACAAGATCTATAGCGATTTAACTGCTAGGCGTTTCATTTTGGGCGCATTCTTTTTGGCCTGACGTTTCTGTTCCTTGAGCTCCCAGCGGCGTTGCTTCTCTGGATCTTCCTCGGCGAGCACGCGCTCCTTCTCCTGCTTGCGCTTATCTTCGCGGCGCTGAGCGGCTGCCTCGGCACGAGCGGCATGGGTGCTCTTCAGGAACTCCTCCTCGACGCGCAGACGATTCTTGTCTGCCTTAGCTTTGGCCTGCAATTTAAATTTACGGTGTTAGGATATTGCTTTTCTCGTAGAGCGCTGACTAGCTGTGTGACCACTAACCTCCTTGGACATACGGTAGACTTTTAAGCGTTCCATTAGGTAAAATATCAACAATAACAAGGGTTTAATGGTCTCCATTTCGGCATGTTTGGGCAGATTGAACCCGGCCAATAGCACAGGCCGCGTCTCTGGCTGCTTCAGCGTGTTGCCTTCCTCCTGTTGGATTTGGCCGCTGAACTGATCCGAGATGTGCAGGTAATCGATATAGCTTTGGTATTTGTTAAGTGCAGTTATAACACGTGACTCGAGTATGGCGGATGTGGCTTCTGGAATTTCAGAAAGCACGCCAAAACCACTGGGAACATTATAGCGATCCTCCGGTTTGGAAACTAAACTACAAAACTTGCTCTGCAAAAAACGAAAATGAAGAGGTTTAAACTGATTTCCGCTAGACCAGCATTTCATGACTTACCAAATCTGTGTACTCTTTAAATATTTTCGTTATGGTCTTCTTGCTGCCGACTGCAAACACAAATGAATCCATTAGCCCACGTGTTAATTCGATTTTGATGTGCACCTGATCCAGCTGGGGTCGCATCAGACCCGCAACAAGTGACACCAAGTCCTGACGCTTGATCATCTTGAGCTCTACGAGCATGCCCTCGCAGCATGTGCGACCGGAGCACCACAGGGTGTATAGGCTTTCGCTCTCCTTAATCAGTCCCGGATTCTCGTTCTCTACCTTACCATCGTCGCCGACCAGCGCAAAGTTTTCGTCGAGGAGAGCTTTATGCGTGCTGAACCAGAGCTGCGCCAGGCGCGCATTCTTTGCTTTGCCAGCAAAGAAGTTGGCGAAATAGGCCAGGAGACCGGCTACCATTAGCATTTCCATCCAATAGGAATCCCAGTGGGTGCGGAAATGTAATGGTATATTCGGTATCTTCAGCTTTGGCTCCGTCTTCTGATCAATGGGTGGCTCCATGGTGTCACCAGCATCGTACCCTTCAAACTCCTCTTCGTCCTGGAAATGTTCAAATTCATCGTCGTTCTCAACGAGACCGTCTTCCTCGTCATCGTTAGAAACATATTTCTTGGGCACTTCCTGGCGTTCTATGTGGCTTGCTCTGCCTGCACCTCTGGATGAGTCGGCATTCTCTGCGGTTTCTGTATCGTAGCTGGCATCCACAAAGTCATCGTCGAATTCCGCAAAATCATTGTCCGTTTCATCTTCGCCATTGGTGTTCACATTTGCGCTGTTCATCTGACAGGCGCACAATAGCGCCAGCAGCAAAAATGCAAACACTGGTCGCATTTTTTAATACAAATACTCGAAAAAATAACGTAATTCAGCTAATATTAACCTAAATCTAAAACTTTTCACCTAATAAAAAAAAAAGTAGGTTAAGTGGACTGAAAATATCGATAAAATAATAAGAGCATCGCTTCTTGATAATAAAATACTCACAATATTGAATTAAATACTAAACAGTTGCAGAACAGTTGAGCACGTTTAAATATGCAAAGTGTTTGAGGAACGCGCAATTAGAATTTAGAACATGTATGAGGGTGGAAAATGTTGATCGTCTCCATTTTATATAAAATATAAGTAATAAACGAATGTCGTAACGTCATGCTATGCTGTGCGTGAGAAATCAAACATCGTTTTTATTCCCACCTCAATATATCGATACTTGCTTACGAATTTCGATTGCAAGAACGATAATAGCCTTTTAGCCGCCGTAGCGAAGTAAACACGTTGCAATTTGCAATTTGTTGGTTGCTGGTTAATTCAGTAAATATTAAGTGAACCTATAATAAACTGCGCAGCCAAATAAAGGAATATGGTAAGTGAAAACATATAAAAATATTACCGGCCTAGCCAACTTGCTTACTACCCGGTGTATTCAATAATGAATTCCACGGGGACAAAATCCGCAACCTGATGCAATATTTGCATCGAATGACAATCAAAAACGAAGTAATTACAATATTTGAATATATGCATGACGCCAACAGGCAAATGTCGAACGCAAAGGCACCTTTAAGGTGGAATTTCTGCAGAAAATCGAGCGCGAGGTGCAACAGCGATGGGAAAAGGAGCGTGTACACGAAACAGATGCCCCAACTGAGCCCAAAAAGCAGCAGAGCGAAAAATTCTTTGTCACATTTCCGTTTCCCTATATGAATGGACGCTTGCACTTGGGGCACACATTCTCCATGTCGAAGGCCGAGTATGCTGTGCGCTACCATCGTCTCAAGGGACGTCGTGTGCTGTGGCCTTTCGGATTCCATTGCACGGGTATGCCGATCAAGGCGTGCGCTGATAAGCTGGCACGAGAGCTGGAGACATTTGGCTATCCACCTAAGTTTCCGGACACGGAGGAAGAGGCGCCAGCCGTTGAGTCGCAGTCGCAGTCGGAGGTGCCCAAGGACAAATCCAAGGGAAAGAAGAGCAAAGCTGTGGCCAAAACGGGTAGTGCCAAATACCAATGGCAAATCATGCAAAGTCTCGGCCTGCAGGATGAGGAAATCAAGCAATTCGCCAATGCCGAGCATTGGCTGGGCTATTTCCCACCGCTGGCGGTGCAGGATCTGAAACGCATCGGTGTGCACGTAGACTGGCGTCGCACGTTTATAACTACCGATGCGAATCCCTATTTTGACTCGTTTGTTCGCTGGCAGTTTAATCATTTGAAGCAGCGCGGCAAGATCATGTATGGCAAGCGCTATACAATTTATTCGCCCAAAGACGGACAGCCCTGCATGGATCACGATCGCTCCAGCGGCGAAGGCGTTGGCCCCCAAGAATATACTCTGATCAAAATGAAAGTGCTGCAGACACCCAAAGCTTTAAGGTAATGCCCCGATCTGCAATTGTAAACATAGACAGTAATGTCATTGAATTCTTTACAGTGCCATTAAGCAGCCCATCTTCTTGGTGGCAGCAACATTGCGTCCGGAGACGATGTACGGCCAGACGAACTGCTGGCTGCATCCAGACATCAAGTACATTGCCTGGCAAAGCACGCGCGACAACGAAGTGTGGGTCAGTACTCACCGTGCCGCTAGGAACATGTCTTACCAAGGCTTTACCGCCGAAGACGGCAAAATTGTTGTACTGGCCGAAGTGACTGGCCTGGAGCTCCTAGGTGTACCATTGTCGGCGCCGCTAACTAGTCACAAAAAAATCTACACACTGCCTATGCTGAGTATTAAAGCGGATAAAGGTACGGGCGTGGTGACCTCTGTGCCCTCTGACTCGCCCGACGACTATGCGGCTCTCCTGGATCTGCAGAAGAAGGAGGCATTCCGTCAAAAGTATGGCCTAACCGATGAAATGGTGCTGCCATACGGGCCGATACCCATTATCGAAGTTCCAACACTCGGCAAGCTCAGTGCTGTGCATGCCTACGACACGCTCAAGATTCAATCGCAGAACGACAAGGAAAAACTGGCTGAAGCCAAGGAGCTTTGCTATTTGAAGAGTAAGTGTAATTATTGGAGGCGGGATATGTATAATTGCTTTTGGAATCTATTAAGGAATTTTGAAATATGAATTATGCATATACATAGTTACCTTTAATTTCGATTATATATCACACAATTTACCAACTGTTAGGCTAATTAGAATAAAAAAGACTGATTTAAAATGCTTTTGGGATTAATGATTCATAATCAACTGAGAAGATTAAAAATTTATATGAATGAATCCTAGACATTTTTCTGATTGATATGTTTTTATTTCACAGGCTTCTATGATGGCGTAATGCTGGTGGGCGAGTTTGCTGGTCGTAAAATTCAGGACGTGAAAAAGATGTTGCAAAAGCAATTGGTTGATGCCAAGGAGGCGGATATTTACTATGAACCAGAGAAGTTGATCATGTCACGCTCAGCGGATGAGTGCGTGGTGGCGCTGTGTAATCAATGGTATCTGAACTATGGCGAGCCCGAATGGCAGGCACAGGCAATGAAAATACTGCAGGACATGGAGACGTTCCACGAGGAGGCGCGCAACAACTTTGAGGCGTGCCTGAACTGGTTGCACGAGTACGCCTGCTCGCGTACCTATGGCCTGGGCACCAAACTGCCCTGGGATGAGCAGTGGCTCATTGAATCGTTGTCGGACTCAACCATCTATATGGCCTTCTATACGGTTGTTCACTTGCTGCAAGGCGGCACTTTCCGTGGCGAGAAGCCAGGACCTTTCGGTATTTGAGATTGTAAAACGCTTGTCTATTATATGACTGACTCCTGAAAAATGTACTTTTTATAGGTATCAAACCTGAAGATATGACCGCCGACGTCTGGGACTATATATTCTTTAAAGAGACGCCTCTGCCAAAGAAGACAGCTATTAAAAAGGAGCACTTGGCTGTGCTGCGCCGGGAATTCGAGTACTGGTATCCCATGGATCTGCGTGTGTCTGGCAAAGATTTGATTCAGAACCATTTGACTTTCTGCCTGTACAATCATGCAGCCATTTGGCCCAATGATGAAACGAAGTGGCCCAAGGGCATGCGTGTCAATGGTCACCTGCTGCTCAATTCAGCTAAAATGTCCAAGTCAGATGGCAATTTCCTGACCCTCTACGAAGCTGTACAGAAATTTTCGGCGGACGGCATGCGCCTGTGCCTTGCCGACGCTGGCGATAGCGTAGAGGACGCCAACTTTGTGGAGAGCACCGCGGATGCGGGAATTCTGCGTTTGTACACATTCATTGAGTGGGTCAAGGAGATGCTGGCTACGCGCACCAGCCTGCGCCATGATGCTGCCAGGACCTTCAATGACCAAGTCTTCCTGAGCGAGCTGAACCTGAAGACAAAACAGACGGATGATAACTATCGGCGTATGTTGTTCAAGGAAGCCCTGCGCAGCGGATTCTATGAGCTGCAGCTGGCTCGTGACAAGTATCGCGAGCTGTGTGGTGCCCAGGGCATGCACGAGGAGTTGGTCATGGAGTTTATACGTCGCCAGGCGCTGTTAGTGTCGCCGATTTGCCCGCACATGGCGGAGCATGTGTGGGGTCTGCTGGGCAACAAGGAATCTATTGTCCATGCCCGTTGGCCCGAAGTGGGCGCTATAAATGAGAACGACATCATGCGCTCTGAGTATTTGATGGAGGCAGCACATTCTTTCCGCCTTAACTTGAAGAATCTGCTGCAAGTCAGGGGCAAGGGTGGCAAAGAGAAGGCTGTGGATGTCCAGACGCCGAAGCCCAATCGCGGTCTCGTTTGGGTGGCCAAAACGTATCCGCCGTGGCAGTGCTGCGTGTTGGATACCATGCGGGAGATGTATAACAAGGACACCAAAACGCTGCCCGACAACAAGTTAATCGCAGTCACGCTGCAGCAGAAGCCCGAATTGAAAAAGTTCATGAAGCGTGTGATGCCTTTTGCACAAATGATACGCGAGAAAGTGGAGGCGGGCAAGGGCGTGGCTGCACTAGCGGTCACTCTGGAGTTCGATGAGCGCGAGGTGCTGCTCAGCAATCTCGATTATCTGAAGAACACCTTGGATGTGAGTAGCAAATTTACCTGAAAATGCTTGACTTACTTACACACTCTTCTGCAACAGCTGGAAACTCTGGAAATCAAATACACTGATGATCCCTCGGCACCTGAGAAGACGCGCGAGGAAGTGCGCCCTGGTTCACCCTTCATCAGCTTCAGTGTTGCGCCTCACGTGCCAGTTGAGCTGGTAAATCCAACGGAACGCTCGGGACTGTTTCAGGTGAACACCATCATATCTGAAGGTGACACAGTGCAGTCACTGCGCGAAAAACTCGCCAAGATTATCGGCCTTAAATCAGATTTGTCCACTCTCCAAATCTGGCGCTATGAGGATCCTGTAATGGGTCCACGGAAACTGCCCAACTTCCAGGACTACAAAACGGGCAAGACACTTCTTAGCGAGGGCAATTTCGTTCTTGATGTGGCTGATAAACGAGTGAGCGTCAATCTTTCGGGGAAACTGACCGAGGTCGGACGCAATCTAATCTATGTGGTTGAGTAAAGATCTGATGCATGTTATAAGAGATACTTGAATTGAAATAGGAACACTGTAAAGAATTGTTGGCTATAAATGAATACCTTAATAAGCAATGTGCTTTGGTGTAACCGAAAATACACTTGACCCACTTTCAATTGTTTTATCGAGGTTGGTTCGGCTATACAGGCTAAAGCTAAGCTAGAGCTCGACTTTATCTAGTGTGAAAATAAAGTACTGTAATCTATCGTATATGAAATGTGAAACTGAGTAAGTATTATACAAAAAATCAAACATATATATTTTGTGTATTGATAGTTAAGAGGTCTTTTTAATAAACTTGTAAGGTAATAAACTTAATTCAAAGTAGATTAGAAATTAAATTAGAATCTATATATTTGATTAAGTCCATCAAGAGCAATTCTCAATTTTTGTATATTTTGTAAAATATATTCCTATTTTCTTAAAGTTAGTGTATCCAATATTCGTTTAGAGTATGTATTGCTTCTTCATTTCTTCCAATTATTTTAGTATGCCAACCTAGCAGACTTAGATAAAGACTCAGTGGGGTTTTTTGACTATCTGTTAGCTTAGCCTATTGAAGTTCTGGTCCGGTTTTATAAAAGCCGAGCACTTCTTTTCTGTGTGTCAAAGTCAAGTCAAAAATGTCAACGAAATTAGTGATTGTTATTCTGCTTCAAGCCGCCGTTGCTGTCCTGGCGGGCGTCTGTTTGATACCTGAGCCCGTCAAGCGCCAACGATCGCTGGTAAATGAGCTCTTCAGGCGACAGCCACGCCTCGATGGTCGCATTGTTGGTGGCCATCGTATAAACATAACAGATGCACCACATCAAATCTCGTTGCAAACATCCGACCACATTTGTGGCGGCTCACTAATCTCGAAAGAGTGGATAATAACGGCAGCTCATTGCACCTTGTAAGTTGTTCCGGCAGCAGATTCTACGTTGAGAAACTAACCGCAATTCATTCTAATCCAGTGGCAAGCAAGCCAATCAGCTACGCGTGCGGCTGGGCACTTCTGAATGCTCCCGAAATGGACAACTGCTAAACATCAAAAAGATTGTTCAACATGAAAAGTTCAACTACTCGAATATCAACAATGATTTTTCGCTGTTGCAGCTGCAGGAACCAATAGAATTCGATGAGACCAAGCAGGCTGTTAAGCTGCCGACACAGGATCAAGAGTTTAAGGACGGTGATGCGTGCTATGTTAGCGGCTGGGGCAGCACACAGAATCCTTTGGAGTCCCGCGACTGGCTGCGCCAGGTAAAGGTGCCGCTGGTCAACCAGGAGGATTGCAATAAGAAATACAGTCGGTACGGCGGTGTGACAGATAGCATGATCTGTGCTGGATATATGCAAGGTGGCAAGGATGCCTGTCAGGGAGATTCTGGTGGTCCCATGGTAAATGGGGACGGCGTGTTGGTGGGCGTGGTGTCCTGGGGCTTTGGCTGTGCAATGCCCAACTTTCCGGGCGTATACTCCAGAGTAACTCATGTTCGTGAATGGATCAAGGAGCACAGCGGTGTTTAGCTAACTGAATGAATGAAATAAACGACCGAGGGAGGTTCCAGAAGTACCCGACCTAACAAATAAAACACAATAACTATGATTTAAGATTTATGTGACTCTCTTACGTATTTTTTTAAAATTCAATACTCTTTTCATATCATGAACGCGCATATCGAGTTTTGCTTAAAATATCGATAACTTTTCCCGTTATTTTGTTATCGATTGAAAACATTATCGAAAAGTACATACACAAGAAGTTATTAAACAATTAACTTCCCATAGTAAGCCAACTCTGCAGCCAATGCGTGTTTATGCGTGCGTACGTATGTCTGTGTGTGTGCGTGTATGTGTAATTATTGCAATATCAGTTGCTCGAAAGGTTCAGGGGATCTCGTAGTCGGGCAGTCTCGACTAGAGCTTTTTTACTATAATAAATATAATAATAATAATTTTGTCAACAATCGTAAATATTTAAATACCCGGAAAAATAAATTACAAATTTTAAAATAAATTCAGGAAAGTAAAATGAAAATTATTGCATTTTGTTTCTTCTTATCTAGAAGGAAATACAATTTCATATTAATGTACCAAGTTCTGAATAGATGAGCAAATAAGAAACTCAAAGTAATCTAAGCCAATTTAAACTCAAAATTATTTTTTAAATTATTTTGTATACTATCCCCGCATTCTTAGATAGTGGAATTATTAGATAATCCATTTCTGGGCCTGGGTCGGCCTTATAAAAGCCAAGCGATTTCTTCTTTCCGCTAGAGTCAAATTAACAATGTTAGTTAAACTTTTGACTTTTTTGCTGCTTCAAGCCGCAGTAGCTGTCCTGGCGGACGTTCGTTCGATACCCCAGCCAGACCAGCGGCAACCTTCACTAATCAATGAGCTTGTCAGACAACCTCCGCGCCTAGATGGTCGCATAGTTGGTGGCCAACCTATAAACATAACAGATGCTCCATACCAAATCTCGTTACAATTATCGTTTCTAATATTCTTCAAGCATCATTGCGGCGGTTCACTAATCTCGAAGGAGTGGATACTAACGGCAGCGCATTGCACCCTGTAAGTTGATCGAACTACGTTCTACGTTGAGAAATTAATAATAATTCCTTGTACTCCAGTGGAAAGAAAACTAATCAACTACGCGTGCGGCTAGGTACCTCTGAAACTAAAAGAAATGGGCAGCTTCTACGAATCAGAAAGATTATTAACCATGAAAAATTCAATGTCTCAAATGCGGATTATGATTTTTCGCTGTTGCAGCTGCAGGAACCAATTGAATTCGATGATACCAAGCAGGCTGTTAAGCTGCCGAAGCAGGGTCAAGAGTTTAAGGACGGCGAAATGTGTAATGTAAGCGGTTGGGGCTCTACATGGAACTCTAATGAGTCAAACGAGTGGCTACGGCAGGTGCAAGTACCGCTGTTCAACCAGGAGGAGTGCAGCAAGATATACAGTCGGTACGGCGGTGTGACAGATAGCATGATCTGTGCTGGCTATTCGGAAGGAGGCAAGGATTCCTGTAAGGGCGATTCTGGTGGTCCCTTGGTAAATGGGAACGGCGTGTTGGCGGGCGTGGTGTCCTGGGGCATTCCGTGCGCGAAACCCAACTATCCGACCGTATATGGTAGAGTATCCTTTGTTCGTGAATGGATCAGGGAGCACAGCGGTGTTTGATTGGCTAACTAATTGAATAAATGATCTGAGTATGCAGCAATACCAAAATGCTTTCCACTCATTTTCCAAACTTATCCCAGAGTGCAGCACAGGCTGTCAGCAGGCAGGCTGCCGCCGAGCTTCAACCACGCGACCTGCTCTGCGCACATTATGGCAACGCATGTACAGGTTGTCGCATTGCGTTGTCAGGAATGTGACAAGGATATGTGCGTAGCTGTGGGTCCTTTTCGGCTGTGTTTGTTTCTAACCTTTGCACCATTTGCTATTTACGTTTGCGGTTAGGTTTCTGGTTATGTGTGCGTATACACAATGAATACTACGTATTTAAAAACTAATTTCTACTGATGATTATCCTTAATAACTGAAATGTATGTAACAGGCAGAAGGAATCATCGCAGACCCCAAAAAGTATATATAATCTTGATCAGGACGACGAGCTGATTCGATATAGCCCTGTCCGTCTGTCCGTCCGTCCGTCCGTCCGTCCGTATGAACGCCTAGATCTCAGAAGTTATAAGAGCTAAAGAGCTGAAAGTTTGCATGTAGACTCGTGTATACCATACGCAGTACAAGTTTATTATATTTTTTTTCGATAACTCAGCCGATAACTTTTTTATCAAGAATAATCGAAAATTGGATTTTGTTTTTTCACCTATTTCCATTTATTTTTAATTTTAAAGTTTTGGCAATGCAATGCAGGGCCATCAAAGCGCAGGATCTAAACATTTGCAATCAATTTTCAAAAATTAAATTAATAACAACCTGTATATACCTGTATCAGCTGATTTTAAGTTATTGTCGTAAGTTGTTGATGCCAATAACTTATGTGTCTCACCCTGAACTTGATAATGATCATGGAAGCACACACACACAGTGGCACCTTAGTATACACACACACATGCATACATTAACTCAGACCAAATGGCAAATTGCTTGTTTTCTTTATTTTTCATTTTGTACTCGAGCATTTTGCCATTGGATACGCTCATATGAAGAACGATCGTCTGTAATCGCGATTATGTGGACTGCTGTTTGACATTGGCATTAGAGCTGTTGCAGTCGCGTAGAGCTGACGTGCTTGGGGCTCGCGCCAGCAGACGACGTCGACGTGAAGTGTTGTTGTTTTCTTTTTGTTTTTCATTGCATTTCATTGCGCATACGCCTCGTTAGCTGCCCAACTGTTGAGTCGATGTTGTGTAAAAATAGCTCAACGGCGAAAACTGTTATTCAACAGCAGACCACTTCACCACTGTCCCCTCCACGTCCACCTCGGCCATCAACAGCAATACGAAATCATCAAGAATCAATAGAGAGCAACGGGCTGTCGCTGTCGTTGTCGCGGTCGAAGGGAGGCGACGTAGATTGAAATCGTTTAACGGTATGTGATTATTATGGTTACACTGTCACGAAAACATACCCACATACCCACATACACACAAACACACACACCACCAGCAGAGTAGACAAACAAACGTGCCGCACGTTGTGGCTACACGTGAGCAACTCGAACAACACGAACGGTCCGTGTGCGGAAGCGAGAGGGAAGCCTTTAGAACAAGAGAGCTTCGTCACACAAACACAAGCCGACAGCCGGCACAACGGCAACTGGTGGCCGAAGCTTCCACCGTCTCACGTCGAGTGCAATGTGAATGTGAACGTGAGCACGCGACTGTGTGTGTGAGAAAAAGCTTCGGCTCGCTGCAACGGCGGCTTCCACTGGAGCAGCAGTGCGAATCCATTGAACATTCAACGTTGCGAGCTTCAAGCAAACGGTTCGTGTTATTGCGCTGTGTGATTCGAAACACATCAACAAGATATACTTTCAATATAATAATCAAAAAACTAAAACCCCATTATATATTATAAATTCACATAAAAAGCGCAAGCTTGTGGAATGATTTAAGCGCACAGCTTGCAAGTGCAACAAATTATTTGCGAGTGGCAAATAAGATAGATGTAAGTCTAAGTGTATGCGTGTTGATGGCAGTGAATAATATTCTAAGCAATTGATAAAAGTGCAATTGATTGTTTTTGTTGTTTTGTTGCATTTTACGTAAGTTGAACTTGAGTTGCGTAAAGTGCACAAATCATTTCAATAAATTTAGATGATAGAATATTCTATAAAGTGATCAATATTGAAAGCATCTAATTTATATTGTATATATTATTTTTTATTTTTATATTTAGAATTCAAGATTTTTAATAGACAAATTTAAAAACTTATTCCAATTGTTAACAAACAAATTATATGTAAAGCACTGTACATTCGTGAAAAATTCTGCACATAACATTTAAACTTTACCAAAAATACGATAGAAATATAAACATTTTTAAAGTGCATTTAGACTAACACTTTTTAGCTGTGGAATTAATTACAGCTGCGAAAAAGAAAAACATTCAACAAATATTTAAATTGAACTATATATAAATAATATTTTAACCATTGTGGAATAACTATCAGCTGCAGTCGACACAGACAAGAGAATCGGGTAAGCATCATTATAATATATAATACGTACTACACGACCTATCTTAGTATTCTACGTCCCATAAAGCAAAACTTTAAACAAAAGTTTAGGCCCACGAAGCTTACGCCATTCAAAGCGCCAAATTCAAAACTTTAACTAATTCGCAAACTTGGCGTTTTTAAGGTTTCAAGTTAATAGAGCGTCGCTTGGGTAGCTTTGTCCCAGTTCGTTTTGATAGCGTTGTAATTCCTAGCACACAAGGCGGAAGTATGCGAGCTGTTATATAACAAACATGCACAGAAGCACATTTCTGAAATTTAAATATTCACTCAACACAATTCAAAAAGATCAGCGAAAAAATGCATTCAATCAGCAGTCACTGACCCGCCGTACAGCCTGCGAGCAAGCGAATTCTCATATGAAACTGTTCGAGAAATATTTTGAAAAATATGCATTTTGTGTGTTTTTTTTTTTTAGTTTTTTGTTTTTTAATACGATCTTCAGTAATTTGACATAAATTCAATTAAAATTTGGTATATATCCAGTCTATTTTTTAACTTGTTAAATTCTTTTTAAAATTAAACAAGTCCTTAAAAAATATTTTATTTTAATATTTTATTTATTTAAAATAAAAACTTATTTTTATTTAATTTTTAATTTAATTTAATTAATATATATTTTAAAATTGTCATTCAGGCTATAGGCTATGCTAGTCTTCTGCCAAACTTAGTCCACGATACGAACCGCCTAATGAAACAGGCAAGAGACCTATTTATTTTGTATATATGTATCTGTATTTATATATTCCAAATTTTGCCAAATTTTTGTTTATGATAACATACATACATGCTTACATACATACATATATGTTTGATTTGAGTCGTTATGTCTCTGCGTTTGACAGCCGTTTGATGCCGTTTTGATAGCTATTCAAAAATTGATTTCCTCTTT